TCCCTCCCCTCTTCCCTCCCTCTTCCCTCTCCTCTCCTCTCCATCTGTGTTATTCTTGCACGCTTCAGAGAAAACTGTAGTGATGGTACAATGCATCATGGAGCAATTGTTTGTTGCGTGAGGGAAAGAGTTTGAGGAGCAGTTAGGGGGCTTATTACAGCTGCAACAGTTATGTACTTGTAAGGGTTTCATGATCCCACAGGACCTTTAGGGAATAATGTATGTAGGGTTGATGGGTGCATTTCAAAGTGTGGTCGCGTGCAGGAAACCAGAGGAAAACTCTGGAAAAACGTCAGGGAAAGAAAAAAGCGAGTTACCGTCTGAAATAGTAGAAGCGACAGAAGACGGGGGAATGCGTGGGCTCCTCTCCCTTCTTGCTGCGGACCACCCTGCACTCCCGACACTTCTGCAGGTTGGGCCCGATTTCGGCACACGAGTCGTCCTGCAGGAACGACTCCCCCGTCTGCTTCAGCTTCTTCACCTTCCTCCAGTCCTTCAGCACGGAGCGGGGGATCCCATCTGAGAAGAGTGGCCCTGATTAAGTCACTGGCAGTGCCTACATTTCATCTTGACCAGTAAAGAGTTGCTCATCATCTTGGAGTCAGAGAGAAGATCAGCCACAGTCTGTTTGGCTAGTCCGAATCAGAGTCAAATTTATACTTTTGGTTTGTTTTCACAGTGCACAAATTAAAGCGGACCCCAAAAAACAGACATACACAGGCGTGTACGAAGGAGCAAATCTTTGTATCTTTTTAGTCTCGAGAGCTGCCACTTCTATTGAGAGAGTAGCAAACTTTGAAATGTTGCACAGGACACGATCGTTGTGGAACGTTGGAGAGCAGGTGGCAGCAGGAAAGGCGGAGAGGAGATGAAATATACACCAGCAATCTACTTGCTCTATTTTCAAATTTTTGGATTGTTTAAAATCCAGAAATACTGAATTAGAGCAATCTTTCCTCTAAGAATTCTTAAAAGTCAGTCAGTTTGTGGGGGTAACAGCTGACACACGTCTCATATATTTGTAATAGTTGATAAGTTGATACTCTACAATTATCTCGTGTATGAAAGGCTGATATATCTTCTTCCTCTGTGTCATAGAGCTCCACTGACCACACTGTTGTACTGGGTGACATGTTCCATCATTACCATCAACACACTCGTTCATTTTGACTCAGTCGCACACAAACTTGGTGTGGATTAATCCGCCGCTGAAAATAGTCCTCAACACGACTTCCTCCTGGTTGAGTAACGTATGTTAACAACTACACTGACCAGTTGTGTTGGAAAATGACTGAGCTTTCTCAAAAAAATGAAATATATATTTGTTAGCTATTTTTTTTAAACTATATTTAGTAGGAACCACTGGGCTTAGAGTAGTTAACAAGTTCGTTAGTTAACAAGAACCAAAGTACAGAATATATCCAGCCTGTCGTCAAACTTGCTGCCTGGGAAACAATTGATAGAAGACTGTGAGACTTACTGCTGCTGGCTAGTTTGAGTTTGGTCTTCTCTCGGGCTGATCGGAAGATGCCATTGGGCTTCAAGTCATCTTCCTCCTTTTCATTGTCTCCTTTCCTCTTGGCCATATCGTTCTGTTTCTTCTTGTAGGTGGGTTTAGGCTGACGCTTGGCTCGGCCCTCCATCTTGCTCTCACTGGTGTCGGAGTCGTCCCCCCCGCTCTCTGAAGCGGACTCGTACGACCGTTTGTTCCCTCGCCTTGATAAGGGAGCTGCTTTCCTCTCCTCCCCCCCTCCTCCTCCTCCTCCTCCTCCTCCCCCTGCAGCTGCTCCTGCCACCTTCTCCTCCAGCTGCCTCTCTCTCTCCGCTTTGCTGTCTTTGCTCAGCTCCACCTCGCTGGATGTGGAAGCGCTGAGATTGACTGTGCAGGGTTTGATCATTTCTGACATGGCTGCGGTGTTGCTGGTGCTGGTGCTGGTGGCGGTGCTGGTACTGGGCAGTTTCTCTGGTTTAGTACTGGTGGAGCTTGTAGTAGCAGTTGTGTTCCTGTCCTCCTCTGAGTGCCGGGTTAACCAGGCTTTCTTCAGCTTGTGGTAGTTGCTGGGCTGCCCGCTGCTTGTCGAGGTCGATCCGGAGGTCTGGCCGTTGGGCAGGGGACTGGACTTCCCTGTCGTTGTGCTCCCGCTGGCCGAGCTGCTGCTACTGCTGTCGACCGAAGATGACGAGGCTTGGCTGGAGGGGGGTGGAGGCGGCGAGTTGCGAATGGGAGTTTTGTCGACTGAATCTACAGGTAGGAAGCAGTTTCCGGTTGTGGCGGATGTGGGCGTGGTGGAGAAGTTGCTTCTGGATTGGGCTGCAGCCAAGGCAGCTTTGTGCTTCTTAAGGTGGACAAAGGAGGAGGAGTAAGGCTGACTGGAGCCAGAAATGGAGCTGGGTGTCGGGGTGAGGCTTGGACTGGGCTGGGGTGTCCCCGCTGGACTAGGGGGAGGCAGAGACCCCCCTGGAGATGTGGTGCGTGAGCCTAACCCATCCTGGTACTCTCCTGGTCCCGAGTGGCTCAGCACCCGACCACAAATGCCAGTTTTATGGGCTGAGACCAAGTAGCCCAGCTCAGGGATGGCTGTCCCACTGATACTCTGTATGCCGTAAGCTGATGCGGCTGAAAAGGCGGTCCTGCACACAGAGTTTGTGATCCCGGCTGCCATAGTTCCCTGCATGCCACGCATAGAAGTGTGTTTGTACTGGACACACATGTCGTCCAGGTTGGAGTTGGGCTGGATAACCCTGCCGGCTACAGCTTCTCTCACACTCTCGCCTAGTCTAAGATTCTCCCCCTGAAGCTTGGCTGGGTAGAACCTCCCCTGGGGGAGCTCCTTAGTGATCATAGCACCACATTTGTTAGCACCAATAAGACTGTCGTACTTGATGGATGATGACGGACGCACGATGACCGATGCCATCGCGGATTGGGGCTTGCCCCTCGACATTCCCCCTCTTTCCTGAATCATCTCTCCATATCTCCACGCGTCTACGGACGAAGTCATGATCTCCCCACTGATGGTTGAGGCCACGGAGGTGACGGCAGCGTTCCCATGACCTTTGACGTCCCTGAGTTCCGGCAGCAGCGTGGGGGGCTTCTGCTGCTCCGCTGATGTTTTGCTGCCGGCTGCCGCCAAGCTAACTGGCTGGATGGGCGTGAGGGTCGGTGGAGACAGTCGTCCGCCGTAACCGGCTCTCTCCCTCTCTCGCTCTCTCTCCTTCTCCCGCTCCCTCTCTCGCTCTGCAGCCTCTTTGCGATCCAGTGCGTGCTGTGTGGGCGGATGGAAGACAGGCGCTCGGTGGAGAGATGGCATTGCCCTGAGCTGCTGCTGGTGCAGCTGCTGCTGCTGGTGCTGCAGCTGCTGCTGGTGGTGGTGTTGGTGGTGTTGGTGATGATGGTTGGGTGCTGTGGAGGAAGATGTAGACAAGGAAGGAGAAATGGCAGGGCTGCGGCGCTCTATTCTGTCCATACCACCCGTGTGGTGCTGATGTTGCTGTTGGACTAGTGTCACCTGCTGGCTGAGCTGCTCGGTGATTTTCCCTGCTAAACCCTCTCCTCCCTCCGGCTGGTGTTTAATGAGGGGAGGGGGCTTGGAGAGGGAGGCTTTGGAGCTGTAGCTGCCCAGGGACAGAGCTCCCTGGCTTGGCACGGCAGCCCCGACGCTGGCCATGACCCCTGGAGCTCCGCCCGACACTTTCTCGTAGTAAGAGCTGAGCTCCTTGGAGGGGTAGAGTCTTGGAGGCTCATTCACCACGCTGTTGGAGAGCGTGGTGAAGTAGTTGCTCTTTTCGGATTGGATAACGTGGGGATGGATGTGGCCAGCCTTGGGGCTCGGGGAGGCGAGAGCCGGTAACCGGATGGGGAAGGCTGGTTCCCTGCACCGCTCTCTGTCCCTGTCCATCCCGGGGTCACCAGAGCGCTGGATCTTGGCGGTGAAGGGAGCGACCTCAATGCTCTCTTTCAGGATTTGCCGATTCTCCTCTTTGTATTTACTGGCTCGGTCTGCTGCCTGAACTGCATCCTGTGCAAGAAAATGCAAACACTGTTAAGGACTGTTTTTTTCATTTTCAGACAGACAGATTGCAGCACTCCTGCTACATTTTGGAGGTCTTTTGATTTACATGAGCCTCTTTCCTCTGGGAACAGATACCTTTTGAGGAACTCATTGCGTTTTGACAGCAGGGACGAGGTTCTAAATCAAGTTCCGGGGAGATTTATCCCCCAAAAAGGGCCTGGTTCAGGGTAGCACTCTCTGACAGTACAGGAACCTTTGGGGTCGGGTTTGCAGGGATGACCGTCACTGATTGGTCAAACACACACAGAGCCGCTGCTTCAACTCATGTATCATTCATAGAATGCATCGATTAGTATCGATGTAAGACTATTTTAGGACATATTTATATATTTATTTAATAACATTAAAAGTAAAGTTAGGCTTTGCTGTTGCTTCCTGACTCATTTAATAAAAAGACTAGAGAGAGAGAGAGAGAGAGAGAGAAAGAGAGAGAGAGAGAGCTGAGAGGGCAGGCAGAGGAAGAGAGAGAGATGGCGCGGCGGTGGCTGTGATTGAGAGAAGAAAAGTTTTGTTCTAAAGCACCAATAAATAACCATCCAACACTCAACAGATGAGACTCTGTGGAGACGGAAGCTCCTACTTTCATTGTGCTCGTCTGCATCTCAACGAGCATCAGTGAATCTAAACCTGAGCTTGTAGATGAACTGGAGGCTGCAGAGTGCGTTTACCTCTGTGACCTCGTCACATGTCATGTTGCGGATTCATAAGTCAGCGTATTCGTTTGCCTAATCTTCTCGGGTCTTTAGATCGCTATGGAAACGCAGACAACAATGTGCTGAGGGAGCCTTTTAGTTCCTCAAAAAGAAGTGGGACTAAAATGACCAGGAACGTCTGCGTTTAAACACGGCTATGTGGAACAATACAATTTAACATAGGTGTCCATCTCCAGTTAGAGATCAGTGTCACTCAGGACAGAAGAAAGATCCTTTTAAACCAGGGGTCTCAAACTCAAGGCCCGCCACGTCATTTTATGTGGCCCGCGAATCCGCCAGCAAAAAAAAAAAAAAAGTTAAAAAAATAACAATAATAATAATAATAATTAAAAGTTAGACTTGATAATAAAAATATCCACATAGTCGAAATTATGAGATAGAAAGTCATAACTACGATAGAAAGTCATAATCCTGAGATAGAAAGTCATAATTATGAGATACACAGTCACAGAAGCAGCTCTTTGGCTGGTTACTGTACACTTGACATATAAATGTATTGTGAGTACATTGAAGACTACTTTAAACGTGGCTTTAGAACACATGAAATACTTCACGTGGGATTGTACAAACGCACCCTTGAAAGGATTTTAAGCTTTGAACAAAGTTATTGTAATAACTTGTGTTTGATATTTTCTTTAATAGTTTGATCTTTGATAGAGTAATGTGGGTTTATTAACCCTAAATTAAAAGGATTTAAGTTATAACAGAAATGTGCTTAAATATATTTTTACATTTATATAACTGCATGTACAATATTTTTACACTTGAATAAACAATAATCAAATGCAGAGACAGTTATTTACCAATATGTTACGAGTAGTTACATTTACACAGTCTTACAGTTACAACCGGCCCTTTGAGGGAAACATGATGCTGATGTGGCCCAGAGTGGAGATGAGTTTGACACCCCTGCCTTAAACTATACTCCACCATACAGATAGTTATAATAAAGTCATATTATAGAAATAAAAGAAGACATTGTAGATAGCAGCAGCACACTTTCTGCAAGTGTATATGAACATGTAGGGCTGGGCGGTATCATTTGAAAGCATGGCTGGTAACAGTATAGATCACGGTATATTTGTTTTTCCTTAAATGTCAATATAAATGCTTCTGAAGGGTATATTTGTGTATTAAGCTGCTTAGAGCAACTGTAAGGAAGTTAAACCCTCTCTCACATCTATTTTATATTGCTGTGAGAACAACTGGATTTATTCAAGATTCTCACCAAAAACTACATTTTACAAGATTATTTTACCTTTGTCCAAAGCTAAATTATACTGAGTAGAGCTTGAACGCACCATGTAAGTCAACGCCACCTCCGTTAGCTGTTGAGCTCTGTGCTGTCACTGTGATGACTCTGAACATGCTGTTCAGACTAATAGCATGGGAATAAATTACAATACAATAAGAGTCTGACTAAATCAGTTGTTCCAAACGTTTTAAAGTTGTTCCTCCACGGCTAATTTTGACTTGCAGTTGTGACGCATGTGGTGTGTGTGACGCTACCGTCTGTGCCGCTGTATGCCAACGCAAAACTATCATGCAAGAAATTGGAAATATGAAACTGATCAACCAGCCATGAAACCCGGCACGTTTTGACCGGCAGCCGATCGATTGGTGCATCTGTCGTCTCCAACGGTCAGCACGGTATCGTCAGAATACATGCCTAGCAGCCCTATGCACACGCTTCAATCTCTCTGACCGGATGTAGTTCATGTTGGTGTTAGGATTTGTATTTATTTTCTCTTAGCATACTATAATATTTGTTGAGGCTTATCTATGAAATAAGAATATGATTTCTACACAGCTGAACATGTTTTGCTACTGCTACCGATACCAACAACAACGGGCTGATAATACAACCTAGCTGCAGCAGCGTACCTGTGTATTTGCCAGGCGAGCCTTGCTGTGGGGGTCCAGGTAGAGGCGGTGGAGGTGGACGTCTTTCACTGTAGGGGTTCGACTGCGGTCCGTCTGCTCCTGCTTTAGCTGGGCCAGTGTCAACGTCCTGATCGGGTCCACAAAGCCTTTCTTATCCACATCTCTGCACACAAGTCAAACGTTTAGCGGGAACAACAACAGCAAACTAAAGGTCATATGTGAGCGTATGAGCGTTAGGTAACAGACAGGTCCAGGCAGGGTGTCATGCTGTTACAGGCTGCTCCTCTGTGATGCTTTGTGTACTTACTGGTGTCTAAAGTATGGCTGGTGGTTACATAAGGAGAGTGCAGGCTGCTGAATGAACTCCTCCACTGTCTCCACTGCTCTCATATTGGATTAGTGCCACTTCACTTCGTCTGTCTGACCTGGCATTGCCTGTCTGCATCTCAGGGCTAACTTAGCTGTCTAGCTGCTCTCTGAACACATCCAGAGGAAAAAGGGCACGCTGTTTAAATGTACAAGGCAACGATTGTGTGCCCCATCTTTCTTGCTCTGGAGTGCTTCTTCCAACCATCTTTAAGGAAAAAGGAATTCCTGGTGATTGTACTGACCCTGGGGGTTTTCTAGGACTATCCCTGCATGGGACAGCTTTACTGACTCGCATTAATGCAGCTGGGCTGGACTGCTATCAATGCGTGTGAATAGATAAACTCCTCTTGACCCAACACCCTGTCTGACGGGAGCTTGATTCATTCTATTCCAAGCAGATCTTATATGGAGTAAATCTATGAACAAAAGGAGCCTTCAATGCACCATGGAGAGCTTCACATGTTAGTGGGCGTTCTACTCACTCTTTATGAGCGTTCATGCTGGCCTTTGACAGCGGAGGGCTAGCGTGAGCGCTGATCTTGATGGGGGGCCGGTGGGGGTCGGCGCTTGCTGGCCGAACGGGGACGTGGCTCAGCAAACCCAGACCGTCAGTGGCGCTGCCGGCAGCCTGGTGCAGCCACGGACTGACTGTGTTCTGCACACGAAACACACAAACAGACAGATATAACATCGATAAAATAAAAAAATAAAAATGTAAAATCCACAGAAAATGTGATCAGTTTTACATCATTATTCTCATTTTCTTTTACACACATATCACCTGTAACAAGTATTACGCCTCCTGCCATTTGAAAATCAAAGTAGGCTCATGCAATCTTGATAAAGTTTCAACAAATCTTTTAGATTTGTCACAAAGTGAAAGTGAAACAATATTATATTATATCAAATGACTATTTAATATCTAAAGTGTTGATGCTGGCAGGTTGAAATGGTATTAGAGGGATAATCCAGCCTGTACACACATAAAGTAACACTACAACCCCCAAACTGAGACCTCATTCTGGTGACTCCACCTCCCAGCCAATAACAGGACAGATCTGACCAAACTGTGATGATGATGTCATGTAAGGACAATCCCGGGTGTCCTTCAGAGACAACAAATGATGACACTTTAATGGAAAAGGGGACATTTTCAGATTCACAGCTCGAAGCCCTACCTTCAAATAAAAGTCAATTGAATTGATTACGTTGTCCATTTTTGTTTTTAATCTAGTTAAGTATGTTTCCATTTTTTCAACCTTGTGTAAAAAAGGCACACTGAAGCTCTAAGTAATAACTTAGTAATAACCCTGTTCAGAGTCTGTTTCATGTTTGATGACAGTAAACCACACAGCCTGTGTGTTCATCACCTCTAGTGTGGCGGTATGCTACTGCACAATTCCTCCAAAACGCATACACCTACCCTCCTGAGCGAGCCCTCGGAATTCATGCTGCTTTCAGGGTGGACCCACTTGGCTGTGGGGGGCAGGTTGAGCCCCGGGGGGTAGGAGGTTGGTGTTCCGTTGGGGTACTGCCAGAGGATGGGGTAAAGGCCCAGCCCTGCTGCCCCGCCGTGAGCCTGGGCCAGTAGAGAGGGTGGAGGGGGACCCTGACCCTGAAAGCAAAGACACATTTTTGGTGTAAATAATGTTTCATCAGACCTATCCTGACTGGATCAGCTGGGAGAGGAGGTGTGTATTCATATGGAGTCAGACCTGTAGGAACTGCTGCTGGTGTGCTGCTGCCGGGTGAGGCAGGGCGAGGTGGCCCAGCCCGCTGGGGGAGTCGAGCCGAGGGTGGCCCCCGAGGAGGGACGCCGCGGGAGGGGGCATAGCCGGGAGCACCCCTGGGGGTAACAGGTGCGGATGAGGTAGGGCCGAGGTGTGAGGAGGGGCGAGGAGGTGGGAGGCGGCGTGGGGGTGGGATGCTGAGGTGAGGCAGGGAGAGTGAGGGGAGGGGGAGTGAAGGGTGTGGAGGTGGGGATGGAGATAGGCTGCCACATGGTTGGAGGACAGGGAGACAGAGACAGAGTTCTCAGCGTCTGAGCGGACCAGCGCTGGGTCCCTGTAAACGGTGAACGTCTCGTTCTTATCGATGATCAGAGGGCTCTTGGTGCTGCTGCTCGTACTGACTCCACCCGACTCCGACCGCGCTGGTACTGGCTTGAAACCGGACCGTGGAGGTTCTGCCATTTCCACTTTAGCCAACAAACGGCCTGTCGGAGGCTGGGACGTGTCAGAGTACCTCTGCATTTTATGCTTAGAGACCTCTGGGGAGGTGTTGGGTTTGGGTTTGGAGATGTCCAGCAGGCCCGGGTGGGGCTTAGCCTTGAGTAGGTCAGCTGGATTTGTGTTGGGGTAGGGATGGTTCTGAGAGCTGTTGGGATGCTGGGGTTTCTGTTTCAGGGCGTCGAGCTGAGCTGTGTTGGGGCTCATTCTGGATCTGGCTAGTTCAGGGGGGAGGACTGTGTTCATCTTGTGGGGGGGCGCTTGCTGCGGTGGGTGTTTTCTCGTCTCCTCAGACAGAGACGGGCTCTTAACGCCAGGGTGGATGGATGTGTAGTGTTGCTGATGTTGTGCGTGCTGCTGATGCTGCGGCTGTTGATGATGATGATGAAGATGATGAGGAAGGACAGTTTTCTCTTTCTCCACCAGCACCACATTTTCGACTATCGATGTGACAGGCCTGAAAAAAAGAAAGTGTATTTTCACATATGTACATAGAAAACGATGGACGTTGTCTCCCCTCTGTGGATGTCTCTTTGCATGAGGGAAAATGAAATGCGTTCAAATCACTATCATGAACACTACTACGTGTATAATTTCAAAACGTGGCAGAAAGAGTAGCATAGTGAGGCTTATTGGGATCGTAGCAGGACGTTCAAAAAGCCCCGCGAGTTGAAACATGTAGGACCTGACTTTAAGAAACACACTCGAACACTATTTGAAGCCTTGTGTTCTCACCTGATGACCTCAGAGGGAGCAAACTCCATCTTGTTGCTTAAGCTCCTGGCTGCTGTCACACCACCTCCAATAATGCCCTGCTGCTGCATGGGAGGCTCAATATCCGTCCGGCGGCCTCCTTCCGATGGCGAGGGAGACGGAGGGACTGGCGGCGAAGAGACGGGAGAGGGGTTGAGGGGGAGGTAAGGGGAGAGGGCCGTGGACTCGGCCTTCTGCGAGGCCAGCAGTGCTGACACGGCTTCTGAACTCTCCTGGTGCACCGTTGCCTGGGCCTCATCCGTGATGTCGATCACACTGCCTCCGCCGCTGAGGTGAGACAACGATGGCGTCTGGGATCGAGAAGACGCTTAAAAAAAGAAAAAAAAAACAGATTATACAATAAGAAAACCAAGCTCACTGATACTCAGCCCATACATGACAGCTGCCTGTACCTTTCACAGTGCTCTTGCTGCTCTCCACACTGCCGGCCTGGACCGGGTCAGACATCTGAGGCGTCTGTTGCCGTGGAGACTGGGTGATCTGCGTCACCGCCACCAATTCCTCCTCTTCCTTGGTTGACATTTTGCCCGTTTCCTTGACCACGCCTTTCTTGCTGTCCTCCGCTGTCTGAAGCTCCGCCCACGGGGACAGGTGACCAATGACAGAGGAGGAATCGTTCATTTTGGTGCCCTGCATCAGCGGCTGCTGCTCCTCCTCCTCCTCCTTTTTGGAGACACCGCCTTGTTTCACATCACTGCCGCGAGACTTTAGCTCGTTCTCAGAGTTGGGCTCCGAGGAGGAGGAAGAGGAGGAGGAGGAGGACGATGAGGACGATGAGGAGGAGGAGGAGCACGAGGAGTGGGCGGTCCTCTTGTTGAGTGGGTTTTCTGAGTCGCTGCTCTCCGACAGGTCAGAAGTCATGTCAGTCTTCAGTCTCTTTAGACCCGCCTTCTTCTCATCTTCCTCGCCCTTCCTGCGTTTGTTCACTGCCTGCTTGGCCTTTGACTTGGCGTCTGGAAAAAGGAAAAGAGAAAACAAACGAGACGTTTTTGGACACTCAAACACAGCTTTGATTGCACTCCATCTTCTCCACCTCATTCTGCCCAAAGAAGTATTATAGCCAAACTGTTTTGTGTTTGAAAGATTGAACCAAAAAAGCCAAAAGCACCACAATGTGTTATATCTTGAAGGTGTGGTGCGAGTAGTTAACCGTTGACCGTCGATAAGCATCTTCATCGATTAACGGCTCTCAACATGTCAACTACTAGCCGACGGCTCACAGCTATTGTTGTCTACACATGTGTACATAGTGGGAAAGAATAGGTTATAGAAGCTCTAACCTCTTGGCATGTTCATTAGCCACATTCTATGTATTCTTTTTTTTTTTTTTTTTACAAAATCAATGTCAAAGACAAATGTGAAACAATCATTATCTCAATCTTAACACTGATGATTGGCTGGGAGTTGGCTTTCTCCAGTAAGGCCGAGAGGATTTCCTCAGGTAGGTTTGACCTGACAAAAGCACGTTAATAAGTGAGTTATTGTTGCAGCTGGGCCGCTTGTTCAACAACAGCACCCCTGCATGTAGGATTGTTGATTTGTGGACACGACCATTTTCCTGCTGTGGGAACTGACAACTAGTAGAGAAGGTAATACAGCGCTCAACCAAGGCTACTTTTAAGTGATGCACCGATCGGCCGTCATCTGATGGCCATGACATGTAGCACCTGCAAGTCCAAACAAAGCTGTGGAGGAACAAGCTTCAAAACATGTGGAACGACTAAATGTTTTATTACCAACAAAGAATCTAATTTCTATTTGCCATGAAAGAAAATGTACAAAACGCTTTGTGTATGCTGTCAATTAAAGTTCTTAGAAAGAAACAAGATAGAAATGGGTAGGTCAGAATTTGAACTGGTGTTCACTGTTAACTGTAATCTGTGGACATTTATTTAGATATGTGATGTGACCATGACAGCAGAATTAATACAAAGAAGGGATAGTGGCTGTCTGCACTATAATCACACAAAGACAGACACACAGTCTATATTCATATTAAGATTTACGTAGCAAGGTGTTCAAGAATTCAATAATCAGTGTCGTTTTGGATCCGGTTCGAGGTTGATAAAGTCCCTCAATTCTCTAAGGCCGGTGCTGAGTCTTCTCCAGTGATGGAGCTGATCGCGTCACAGCAGGGCGTCCACCGTACCACGGAGGTAGGTTGTAAGGAAAACTGTAGTTTTCCTGCTGTTTTTGTCTCTTGCTACTGCAATTATTAACATGCAGTCTGATTAATAATCCAAATGAATATGTTTATTCTTTTAATGTAGCAGGTTATTTTTAAATAACAAAATATGTAAAGAAGTGTGCATTCCAATGCAAAGGAGAGGAGCGCATCACCACCATCCTCACCTCTCCCTGTGGTCTCTTCTCTCCGGTCCTTGTCCTCCTCTGGAGCGCTGCTATCCGATCCTTTCCTCCTGGATGAGCGAGAGTTGCGCTGCTCTCTCTGCTCCCTCCCACTGCCGCCGGGCGAGTGGTGCAATTGGCTGGCGGGCTGCTGGCTTTGCTGCAATTGGCTCTGCTGCTGAGAGGCCAGCGTCCCCTGGGAACCCTTTGGGTTGGGGCCCGATGAGGTCATCATGGGGCGGGGGCTGTTGGCTTGGGCTCGTGTGTAATGACTCTGCAAGCGTTTTTTTCAAACAGTCGTACGTTAGCTCATGTAATGCAGACATTACTATGAATGCATAGCAGTTTAGTTTATACACCTCAACAGTTAAATACCATGCAATATGACAACCTTGCAATCTATCCTATCTACACACTTTATTTTGTCCACCTAGCTAAAACTAATGCTGTCCAATCGGATCGCTCTGCAGTGAACCCTACATCTGTTTTTATTCAGACTGTGTTAGAGAGTTCATTCAACTGTACGGTCATTTTGGGACATAGTCTGGGGTCCTGCAGTGATGTGCCCATCTGGGGCAGAGGTAGTGGACAAGAAACATAGATAATAACGCATCGTTCACATCAATCAGTTAGCAAATTGTTTCAGTTTCCACCTGCCTCGTCTTAGCTCTGAAGAGCCAGGTACTGTAGATACACGTGTGCCTGAGCATCCTTGGTTGTTTACGAGCCTAAAAATAGCAGCATATCCTCACACAACCTCAGCCAACTCCACTGGCAACAACTGGATGTGCCAGCAGGGTGCACAGTCACCCTCTGCTGCTGAGGCTCTGGAAGGTAAATCCGAAACAAATGGCTGCTGACGTGTTCGCCTCTCCTCGTCCACATCAAGAGGAGTTCACGGTACAGCTGTTTATGCAACATTATGCACGTTTCAACAGCTGGATCTGAACACTGAGAGGTTCTAATATTCTTCATCACTTCTTTTTTAATGACAGTGAGCAAATATGAAAAACACAGCCTCCAAAATGAGCATAAACTAAAAACACCTCGCTCAGTTTGAACAACTGAAGGGACCGTTGGATTAGACAGCATTAGTTTATCAAACATCGTGTCCACACCATAATAACACTACTTTAGGAAGTCAGACAGCGGCTAGCGCTCTGAGGCTCGCCACAGTTTCACAAGCGTGTCGGAGAACTCAATGGCCTTAAGGTGTCGTAAAAACCGTTCTCTAGAGCCAGTGTTTGATTTGACCTCTCTGGGCTACTGTAGAAACATTGCGGACTTCGTGAAGATGCCCGATGAAGGGCTCATTCCAAGCTAACGAAAACACAATGACTTTTTGGTCTCAGGTGATTCTAAACTATTAAAAACATAGTTATGAATATTTCATTATAAGTGTGTGTGTGTGTGTGTGTGTGTGTGTGTGTGTGTGTGTGAGCGAGCTATGCTGACTCCATGGAGCCCAACGAGACATGAGGCTTTACATCCGAGGATCTAAGATCCCATGTTATCACGTTTGTATCGGTTGTTGTACGACTACGAGCTTTTCATTCTCTAAGCCCGTACGGTGAAATAAGTTCTTGTGACGCTTGACGAAACAGTCATTTATGTGAAACCTAAGACAAGTGTTGTTTTTATGTCAATTCTTTCCCACACCCTCATGCTCACAGTGACATGATTGTGGGGGACTAACTTTGCTAAACTTCCAATCAGTATATTCAAGAAAAAACAACTTGAGAATACAGGGAAAGCATGGCTTCTATGACTCTGATGTTGCGTTCATGCATTCCATGTGATCCATTTCCAGGTGTGGCATGTGTACTTGTGACCACACACTGTGATGTAGCATTGTGTACAGTGTGAAACGCTGTGCTGCACAGTGTGGGGCGGAGGCAGCAGCCACAAGATGGTAGTGCAGGCAGGAGGTTTGCCTGGCTGAAGACACTCTTTTAATGAGTACTTCACTTTGACATTTCATCTCCAGGTTGTGTCAGACATTCGCCAGTGTGAATCCAAACTACTGTCTCTCTGTGAGCTGTTGAGTGCTCGATTTTTGCTGGAATCTCAAAGTATTACTGTAAATTGGAGCAAAAACTCAAAGGGTTCAACTGAGATAATGTACGTACATTACGGTCCCTTTTTTACACTGTGTAGAAATGCTCTTTTGATACCCTCTATGAGCCTCACCTCACATGTTAGTTAAGGATACAGATGTTCAGAGAAACAGTTGATGGTTACAAGTATAACTGAAGACATGAAGAGTTATTTTGCTTTATAATGAGCCTGTTCAGTTCAACAGATTACCCAGACAACGTCAAGCCTCTTTTATTGCGTATGTCGTTCATTCATTTATCTTAGGGATATCACCACAGCAGCAACGGAGGAAGAGTCGAGATTCTAGATTCCAGGAGCACCAGTTTTGGATTATTTTCTTACTCAGGATTAATCTTTTGTTTTGGCCATATATGGTTCACGGAGGTGCTCATACAAACATGTTTTTGGTCATTTCTTTCAATCCAGCACAGTTCATGTCTGTCAGCTGTGACTCTACACTTGAATGTAGTGTATTGTGGGAAGTGTGTGTCTGGAGGGTTGTGGTGTGGGGGGGTACCTGAGTGCTGCCAGTGGTCCCTCCGGTTCTCCCTCCCGTCATCTTTAATGTGTCAACAACAAGACAAAACAGATCAAAAAAAAAAAAAAAAAAAAATGAAATGAATATGAAGAAAATGTGGGACAAGGAGAGACTTTGTTAGTGACCGGTTCTACCACTGAGCTCCTTCCATGTGTGACATCATGCAACCACACCGAAGTCTCAATAGTGTTCTGCTGACATCACCTCCACATGAAAGGAGCCAACTGGTAACCAGTGCGCTGTATGTCTGCGTTTTAATGTAAGGCTACATAAAAAGCACATGGGAACATATTTTACTTTAAAGTTATCGAAAGCAAAAACATGAGACAGCAGACAAGTTCTGAGAAAGAATTCATAGATAACCAGAGTTATGGCCCGGTATAGGAAACAAACCAAAAGAGAAAGTACAATGGGATTATTTTGCATAATAAAAGATTTTGGGGGGTTAGGGTTACCCCCCCCCCGGTTTGGAAGGCTGTGATGACCAATGTCTATGAAACAAACATAACCAGATTCAATGTAGATGAGGCTGAGGTCGAGTGAATGGTTAACAAATCAGAACAAGCAGTAGAAACAACATACTGACAACTTAAAAGTCCAATCAATGAATCCAGAAAATAATCAGCAGATTAATGTATAGTGACAATAATATATGGCCTAAATACTTGTAATCTATTTCATGTGTGGAACACAATATGTGAAAAATGTGAAACATGGAGTGTTGGTCTTCTTTAAAAAAAATGTAGAAAATCTAAACCCGTTATGGGAGAACAAAGAAGCGTTTCAGAGATGGAAACAAAATGTTGCAAATAGTTAAACCTCTGCTCGCCGTAGCCTGCTGTGGCTAACTCACCACTAGGGTTAGCACAAGGCTAAACTATTAGAAACATTTTATCTCCATTTCTCTTCATAGTTTAGTCTAATTTGTCAGCGATGAGCTAATTTAGCATTATTTTATCTCCATCTCTTTAATAGTTTAGCTTCTGCTAACCCCAGCCTGCTGCGGCTAGCTCACAGGTACGACGATCAGAAGCCTAACCTGTTAGCAAAGTTTTATATTCATCTCCCTGATCGTTTAGCCTTCAGTGTGAGCGGTGAGCTCACCACTGCGGAGCAGCCATGACGGCTATGGTTAGCAGTGTTTTAGCAACACGTGGGCTGTATTTTTACCGTTATTATATGGCCAAAATAAACCGCCTATGTCAGCTTTAATCTCACCTTTTCCTGTTTTGTTTACTGCTTCCATTGTGTTATATTTCTCATTCTTCATGTACATGTAGGCTCGTTATTTCTTTTCTGTTCTGAAGGTGCTTTGATGACAGAATGACATCACCCTCATGAACTGAATTCTGGTTGATCTGAGGCTCAATCTGAATTGATTTAATTACTTCTACCCAAAAATATATTACATCAACTCCAACTCTTGACTACAGTACATGTTCATAATGAGACCTTTCTGTGTGTAACATTTAAACTGTTGTTGTCTTCCTTTCTTTGCGTTATACTGTTATGCATTTTTAATATATAACACAGCTAACAGACAGAATGTGTTATACTGCTTCAGTACCACTGTCCGCTGCTACTAGTCGTGCTGCTGTGTGTGTTTGCACTCACGTGGGCAGAGTTGTTGTTCTGGCTGGATCGTGACCTCCGTCTGGAAGTGATGCCGATGTTCTCTCCTTTCAGCAGGGAGTGGACCACGTCGTCCAGAAAGGTCATCTGGATCATAGACGGATCCACGTTCTGAGGTTCTAGCACCTGAACACACACCAGATTCACTTTACACATGTGAGCTGAGTGGATTAGATCTGAACCCCTCCTGCTGTTAAAGGTGGTCCACTTCACTGTCACAGTGGGCATTCAATCAGAGAGAGCTGTTACAAAACAAACGTGTTTCACCAACCTTTAAAAGCCACATCAAATGAAGAGAACGAATTTACACACAAACTAATGAACTACTCAACACCTGTGGAATCATACAGTGTAGCTCCGCCTTAGTAAACAGTGTCCTAGACTGTCCAGAGATTTAACAAAACGGCTGAGACAAACATCAACTAACCAGAACAAAGATCAAATGACTAATCTGTGACTAAAACCAACATAGCTTCTTTTTCTTTTCAAAAAACAAAAACTTAAATCAGCATCGGGTGCACGAATGAACACTGGTGCTGTCTACTTCAGATGCTGGGTGCTTCCTCATTACTCTCCATCTTGTCATTTCCCTTTGTGCATTCTGCTTTATGTTACACCCACATATAAACTGTACACACACATTTGAAAGAACATTGTGTGTGTGTGTGTGTGTGTGCGTGTACCTGGTCATTCATAACGACCATGTTTCGACTGAAGAGGTCGTGGTGTGTAATGATGCCAGTGAACCACTGGGTGGCCGAGTCTTGTCTGTACACACGCACACGGTAGCCATTCAATGAATAGGGACCTGGAAGCAACAGGAAACAGTGTTATTGTCCCACTGATGGACGGACAAACTTCAGAACAGGCTCCTGGTATTGTGAGGCGCACTAGTTACAGCAGTGAGACGACTGAAAGAGTCAGCAAAATAACTGTTGCTGTGCTAAGCTTTATACATTGTAACGATGATATCCACAGAGTGGAATATAAAGAGCGTGGGGAAATGCTTACCTTGCATAAAGATTTCCTGCACCTTCTGGTCTTTGAGCCAGCCCCTCACTTCTTCATGGAGCTGATGGTTGTCTCTTAACACCGGGTTCTGACTGTCCACCTCATCCTGAAGAACACACACAGGATATCAACGGATCAGCATCAAACACACTTCACACACTAACTGGTTGTACAGCAGTCCACACACTCACACACTACCATACAGACACACACATTATGTGGTATTTTAATTGACACATCCTTCTGTTTCTGTTGTAAGATAACGGCGATTTCTCTGTGACTTATAAAAGCTATATGTTCATTTCACTTCATTTAAACATTTATTTCAGGAACTTTCACTGAATTCACACATTTGTTGGGCCTGCTTTAAAATACCTCCATGGTGGTAATGAGGGTGGGACACGTTTCCCCATCTAGATTGACCCTGTATATACGAGCATCCAACCCCCGCCCGAGAGCTCACTGCACTTCCTGAGCTGCTGCTACGCTTTGAATGAACTCACTTTTTGGGATTCAATTTAAAAGAAAATTGAACAATCAAAATATCTTAACAGCAATAAGTATCAGCTGTCATCAAATACAATGCAGAACTGTATTATAATGTATTATTATAAGCTTGATAGCTTTCCTTTTTGACATTATTATAGATAATAGAAGGAACAGGAGCTGAGCCTGCTGTGCGGCTTGCCATACTGAGTAACACTGTTAGTGAAGAGCAGCAGCAGCAGGCTTTCTGTTGAGCTGATAGCAATCAATTGTGAAATGTGCACAAATAAATTCTCTGATGCCAATTGTGATTCCTGTTTAGCCGATGCATTCTATAACTGTCCCAGCATCTATTAAATGGTAAAGATGGAGGTGTGTTCTCCTGTAAATACACAGAAGAACACAAGTGCAGTTATATAATTAAACACGGCACAGCTGGAATTCATTACAAAACAACAACAAAAAGGCTTCGCAAACACACACACACACACACACACACACACACACACACACACACACACACCAGCAAAGACGGGAACCATGAGCCTCTAAAAAGACTGTTTCACACAGAGTGAGATGAGTCAGAGAGGGTGAAACACCGAAAGAATCTATTTTGTTCTTTAATGAAACTTCTTCCCCACACACAGAGCAAGCACACAACACTGACAGATGACAGATGAGGAAGAAGAAACCAAACCACTGTCACCACACTGGTAGCACACTATGTGTGTGTGTGTGTGTGTGTGTGTGTGGGGAACGCACAGTTCAATTGAGGTTATTTTTAAGAGTCTTCAAGGTGATGCATCACAGGTGAAAGGTGGTGAATGAAATGCTAAGCCACCACTGCTCGTAGTGATGTTAAAGACCTTTGAATTCATTCAGAATCTGAGGAGTGCTCGGTAGGAGGATTCATATTTTAGTAAGAATGCATACATTTGTATAGCAGGACATCTTCTTCACGCAGTGGATGAGGTCTGAAGTCTGCCTGCATTGATGACAGGCTGACACTGTACATTCACTTTGTGTCATTCATCACCTCAATCATCTCCATAAGCTGGTTGTCATGAATGTTTACTGAAATTTATAGAATAAAAAACAACATTGTTTTGCTGTGCGCAGCGGAGTTTGGACGTACTTAACAGTTTAATATGTCTCCAGACAGAAGCCCTGTACAGCTCACATGGGTGAGACAGGAGACACTGTGACAGGCTGTACAACAATGCAGAGGAGATGAGGACACCTCCCTGTCTCCGTCTCTCTAGTCCATCTATTTTTTTTGTTTGTTTGTTCTGTTTGTCTTTGCCCTGTAAAGCGTCTTTGGGTATTTTGAAAAGCGCTAAAGAAAATTGATGTATTATTATTATCACATTTATCACGCGTTGCAAAAGCACAATCTAAAAGAAGCATGAATAACATTGTTAGTAGAGTAACATAGATAATTAAATAAAATAAATAATATATATCATAATATCAGCAATCCAGTTAGTGTTGGTGCAATCTTGAAGTGCAAGACAAACAGTCTCGCCCTCTCTCACACGTTCTCCGTCTCTCTCTCTCTCTATCTGACTCGAAGGAGTGCGGAGTTGGCGGAGCGTGTTTGAGAGCGATAAATAGCGATTTTTCGATATTTTTCTTCACTGGGTAATGTTGTATATGATAGTGTAGTGGGGTGTGCAGGGTTCACGTTTTTTTTGTGTACTTTTAGCTGTTTTTTGGGTCTTTTTTTGTGAGCGGATTGCAGCTGACAGCGCGCGCTGTCGGCGTGCTAAACGCCACCATGAGCCTGAACACGGCGTGAAGATCGGGTGTTCAGTGGAGGAATGCAGCCTGGCAGTGGGGGAGCTTGTCGGCCACAGCTGCGTGAAGTCCGCAGCACGGATGAACAGCGCTGTGGTCATCTTTTTAGATACCATAGAAACTGCGGAAGTGGTGTTGATGACCGGGATCTCCGTGGGTGAACACTTCCTGCCCACGTATCCTCTCGGCTCACCGGAAGTTAAAGTCACCGTGTCAGCATTCATAAGAAACGATGCCATAATCAAAGAGCTGTCCAAACATGGGAAGGTGGTGTCTCCGGTTAGGAGAGTGTCCTCTGGCTTTAAGTCTCCGCTGTTAAAGCACGTGGTGTCTCACAGGAGACATGTCCTCATGATCCCCAACAACAGGAGCAGAGTGGTCAACCTCAGTTTCAAAATCACAGTAGAGGACTTTGACTACGTCCTCTTTGCAAAGACTAATGATTTTAAGTGTTACAGTTGTGAGAAAGAAGGACATCTGAGCAGAGCTTGTCCTGGGGAAAACAGCTCAAACAAAGACCAGAACCAGAGAGGTACTGAGGAGGGCAGAGGGGACAAGCAGGACGGACAGGAGGGAACAAGTGGAGCACAGGAGGTGAGGGTGGAGGAGACGGGTGGGGTACAGGTGGTGAGAAAAGAGGGGGGAAGTGGGGGACAAGAGGTGATAAAGGATGGGGCAAGTGAGGTCCAGAAGGTGAGGGAGAGTACTGGAGGACAGGTGGAGACAGGTGGGGAGGTGGATATGGAAGCAGACGAGGAGCAGCTCAAAGCCCCGCAGCTGAAGATGAAACAGAGGAGACAGCGGAAGCTCACAGGCGAAGAAAGTGGCAACGAAGGAAAGTGGAGGAGCAGCAGAGTGAGAGTCCAGTCTGGAGGAAGACTCTGAGTCCAGTATGGAAGAGGACTCTGAGTCAAGTTGGGAGGAGGACTCTGAGTCAAGTTGGGAGGAGGACTCTGAGTCAAGTTGGGAGGAGGACTCTGAGTCCAGTCAGGAGGAGGACGCTGCTGCTGAAACTGAGCCCTCTAAACACGGTGCTGGCAGCTGTAGGAGCTCTGGAGACTACAGCGTGGAGAAGATAAAGGAGTTTCTGAAGAGGAGTAAGAACGTGAGAGGAGCCAAAGTGGAGGACTACCTCTCTGATAAAGAGAAGCTCTCCAGCTCTGCCAGAGCTCACATGAGAAGCAAGGACAGAGGAGGTCTCACTATGCAGGAAGGCTTCAGACTGAAGAAGATAGTTCACAAAGTGGACAAAGAACTGGACAAAGATGGTGATGAGTGAGGAAAAGATCTCACAGTCTAAAGACAATCAATTTATTTGTTTAACCCTTTTAAATGGTAAAGAAACATGTTGTTCAAAGAAAATAAAGGTTTTATAAAAATCCAAAAAAAAAAATCTCTCTCTCTCAGAAGAATTCGGGGCTGCAGAGGTCAGCATAAACCTCTCTCACATATTCTACCATTTGTGTGGGATGGTTTCTTTCACCTACGCTACAGAGACACACAGCTAAAACTCTCCTTGGATCTTTGGAGTTTACTAGCACACATGCTCAGCCTGGATTCACTCTTGGAACATTTGGACTGCCTCAGATCAAACACTTAGCTGGTGTGTTCCTACCACACCTTCACTGAGGGAATTGTGCAGCATGTAGTGCACAGCCTCAGGAAACAACGGGAGTCTCTTTCTACTACTCTGGCTTCCCGTTGGCCTGTTTGGACACGACACGCACAGAGACTGTGTTACCAAGGCAACATGGTCACCATGACCGCCCATTGGTCTCTTTTCATCAGACTGGAGAGAAATGGAATATCAGTCCCCCAAAAACAGGATTGAAGTATGTCATGGGGTTACAAACTGTAAATGGAGAAAAGTCTTGAAATGGACATTTGTATATCAATTACTCGTTTTTAAATTCTCAGTTTCCTTCATGAATTCCGAGGTGACAAACGGTCATTTTAAGGGTGAAGCATCCCTTTAAACATCTGAATATCAAACATCAAGGTCCTCATCAGCTCTGGAGCCAGGCCGTGTGTTCTGAAACACAGAAACATTTGTCTCACTCTGCAGCAGAGACAAAACACGTCACGTACCCGATCACCACCTTTACAACCACTGGCTTTAAATGGCCTGTTTCAGTGAGTAACAACTCATTAAATCCAACATGACGGAGTAAAAAAGGATCTCCAGTGGTGAAGGGAAATCAATGTGCAGCCTGAGGTTTTGTGCCATTTATTTCAAATCAACCACCGCAAACAATGTGAGAGCTATTCCACTGACTGTGTGACAGGAACCAACCGTAGCATTGAACAGACTGTAACGGTGCTGGACAAGCTGAACAGCACTTCTCACAAGTTGAGAAAAAAAGAGCTTTCTATAGTAAAACGTATACAAAACTCATACAAATGCTTTATGATCTACTTATTATCATACATCATGGATAACCACTTTCATTACTGTCTTCAACCTGCATCTGTGACTCTGGTCTAGTTGTTCACACCTTCTGTGAACACGCAAAAAAGGCTGAGGCAACACCAAGGACACCTTGTGCACCGGGGGGCTGGTGTCTATTTCAGACACCGTGTGCAAAGTTAATTTTAGAAGAGGCTGTTGTCCAGATTTCTACAAAAACCAGCCTGACACACAGACACACAGACACACAGACACACACAAAGCCCAACACCACCAAAAACATACAATGTGTTACTCAGGTGTCGTATCCACCCGAGGGCCTCTGTGTCTCTCTATGTCTGTCTGTGTCTCTCTCTGTGTGTCTCTCTCTCTGTCTGTGTCTCTCTCTCTGTCTATGTCTGTCTGTGTCTCTCTCTGTGTGTCTCTCTCTCTCTGTCTGTGTCTGTCTGTCTCTCTATATCGCTGTCTGTGTCTCTCTCTCTCTCTGTGTCTCTCTCTGTGTCTCTCTCTCTGTCTCCGTCTCTCTCTCTGTCTCCGTCTCTCTCTCTCTCCGTCTCTCTCTCTCTGTGTGTCTCTCTCTGTGTGTCTCTCTCTCTCGCTGTCTGTGTCTCTCTGTCTGTCTCTCTCTCTCTCTCTCTCTCTCTCTCTCTCTCTCTCTCTCTCTCTCTCTATATCTCTGTCTCTCTCTCTGTCTGTGTCTCTCTGTCTGTGTCTCTCTGTCTGTGTCTCTCTGTCTGTGTCTCTATATCTCTGTCTCTGTCTGTCTGTGTCTCTGTCTCTCGCTGTCTGTGTCTCTGTCTCTCGCTGTCTGTGTCTCTGTCTCTCGCTGTCTGT